TGTTGTTGTTGTTGTTGTTGTTGTTGTTGTTGTTGTTGTTGTTGTTGTTGTTGTTGTTGATGATGATAATTTAGGACCTCAGGCTAAAGAGCACCAAAACAAATTCACTCTTACGTAATGTGACTCCACTTCTGAATACACAGTGGACAGGTGAGTGAGCAGGACAAACACGTTTTTAACAGGAGCAAGGTGAGTTTGCAGGTAAACGTTGTCTCTGCAGAGAAGACACACGAGCGTGATGGCAATTTTCTCTCCTCTCTCAAGTCCCCAAAGCTATTATGATCACTTGTGCCATGCAAATCGCACTGTGCTCCCTGTGGCCACGTCCGCACCACGGTTCTATTCAACTACTCAGATGAGTTTGAGCTCTTTCCCTCCAGCCTGTGGGAGACATTGAATCACAAGCTGAATGTTAAACTCCCTGAATTTAAAAGAAATTTGGGGAAATCTTATCCTGGATTCATTCGCTTTGTTGTGTTTAGATGTTTGGTAACATTTGACTAATCTCTGCCGCCTGAAAGAGTCACAGAGATAACACGAGTTTAAAGTCTGCCAGCAGCTTTGATTTCAGTACAGCGAGCTTTGAGCTAAATGCTAATGTCAGCATGTTCAGAATGGCAGTGCTAGCATGTTGACGTCCACCAGGTATCGTGTTTATAATCTTAGTTCAGAGCCCTCAAAGTTCTTTAATCTAACCATTTCTGTAACAGAGGGAATACAGACGAGGACAAACTGCAACTTGCATTTATTCTCTTGCAGAAATAACTTCTTCATCTTTTGATTGTCTGATATCTCTAATCTAAAAATAACAGATCCCAAAACCAAAGCTTCACTTTGATTGATTTGTCTGACCAACAGTTAAAACCGTAAAGATTCTTAATGATGTTTAGCAGATGTTATTTTCCAGGTTCCGTAAATATGAATTAATATCAAAATGGATCATTGATGAAGAAATGAATCACTTTTCTGGTATTTAGGTGGCAAAGTATTGGATGATTGATATTTTCCTGTTTGGATTTTTGGTAAAATTTTCCCTCTGCAATGTTCAGTCCGTAAAATAAAAGTTTCCATAACGACAAACAAAAACGATATGCATGGGAAATCTTTATATCGACTACATTTATGAGCCAGTCAATAAATTGGTCTGGGTCTGATAATTAATTCTGACGATGACGTGAATGTAATTTCATTGTAATCCATTGAGAAGTTGTTGATTTATTCCAGTCTGCAGAAGTAATGGACTAACATTAAATAAAACCTTTCCCGTAGCGTCACTAAAAACCTGCAATAGAGAGAGACTGTTTTTATACCTTGAGCATCTTATCATTGGCACACTGGCATTTTTAAATTATGTGTAGCTGCAGGAACGCACGGTGCATTAGGGAGGGAAGACAGACGAGAGAAAATAACATCTATCATTAGATTACAAGAAATGTAAGTCAGTGGAAGAAGAAGAAGACGAGTGGGGGGGTGGAATGTTTTTCTGACAGCAAATGTTGGAATTAAATGTTGGCAGACGTAAAAGCACCACAGAGGACTACGAGTGCTGCTTCCCGGTGCCAGAGCGCGTGTGTGGAGGTTCTTGGAGAGCTCTGGGGGAGTCTGGGCAGCTGCCATCAAAGCAGAAGTGTGTCAGAGGAGAGGAAGAAACTGTTGAGATTATTACAGGGAGTTCCTCCACAGTGTGTGTGTGTGTGTGTGTGTGTGTGTGTGATGGCGTGGGTTCAGGAGGAAGACGAATTGAGGAGCTATGTGAGAGATGCTGCAGCTCAGTGAGGCGTAACCACCTTTGACTCCGCCTTCACTCCTCTGTGTGGAGAGCTCTGAATCTTTCATGAGCCTTTCAGCGACAAATTCTCTTTTTATTTATACCGTCCATTTACAGAGGGGGGTGCATTAGTGCTAAAAGCAAATGGTGGTTAAATTCATGCACTGGGAGTTAAATTGCTTCTTATGCACAAAGTTTCAGCAGCGTGAGCATTTGCTGTTTCTCTCTGTTTTATATTGTGAACTGAGTATTTTTGGATTTTGGGCTCAAAACAAGAAGCAAAGACGTCACGTGTTAGACTGGGAGAAACTGGAGGTTTGGATTTTCTTCTGTGTTTGTTTGTGAACTGAATTATCCAAACACTGCCGCGCTGATTTCCATGAAGATTTGTGAAGGGTTGGGAAATTGGATGAGGGGGCGGATCCAGATTTTTTCAACATTTGCATTGATTTCTCAATGTGAATGAAAAGCGGTGTGTGCAATTTCTTACAGACGCAAATATTATTCAGCAATAATCCGTTATTCAGTTGAATAATTTTCCAAACATTTGCTGGATCCAGATTCTCGGTTGTGATCATTTGCTGCTTTTCTTTTTTCGTATCTGTCAGTGAAGTGAAGAACTTTTAGTTTTGGGATATTGGTCAAATAAAGCAAAGCAATTTAAACACTGCGACATTTTTCACCACTTCAAATCAATTAGACTTAATAGCTTAATTAAGCCAGCAGATAATTGGCAGAAATTATGGAAATAACCAAAGTGGCAGTGACGTGGTTAAAGGTGAACTTCTCACACATCTGTTTACAGGAGAGCACTACGAGTTATGTGAATAGTCTAAGCCACGTTTGAGCCACATCCTCATGTGATGTCACACGAGTCGGCGCTGGTCGGGTCTAAAAAAAAAAACTACAAGTTTGAAAAGTTCAAACATTAAAAATCTGTGGGTGTGAGATTAGAATGAACTGAACTAATCAAACCTCTGTAGCCTGTTGCTCATCTCTGCTTGAGGCTCTGGGCCACATTAGGTGTCACTGGCTTAACACAACTGAAATTCAGCTAATAGAGTTGCATTATGGGTAATGTAGGCATCAGGTTTTAACCAAAAAAGACAAAATCTCTGTTGTCCACCTTGAGTCAAACCGACGTAGCAGTGAATCAATGGAACCCTCTTCACTTAACCACCCTGAACTATTTCTGTAAACGTTTTTTCAACCTTCTCACTTGAACTCAACCTTCACAACACGACCACGCAGACAACAACGCCTCCAGACAAGTCAATCAGGACCCGAATGTCTCATTCACGAAATCCACTCACCAGGTCTTTGGACGTGCCCAGTCTCTTCAGCCCGTCCAGGGGCAGGAGGTCAGCAGAGTCCTTGTGTGAGAACTGGGTGGCCTGCTTCAGACGCCTCTGTTGGTGCAGGATGGCTTTATCCCGGATGGCGAGCTCACCTTTCTTCGCCTCGCTCATGGTCTCAGGCTACGGAGCAAAGCAGTCTGTTGTGGTGCTGTGCACAGGAGCACGGAGACTGTGAACCCTCACTCCAGCAGCAGCAGCAGCAGCAGCAGCAGCAGTAGGGGGATCTCTCTGCAGGAAGCTAGAGACACAGAGGATGTCTGTTTGCAGATGAGGAGATAAAAACCCAAAATGCAGCTTTTTAGCTTTGCTGTTTAGATCCTTCTCATCAGGTCCTTCCCCAAAAGCATCACCCTGCAAATGTTGCCTCTTCCACCCTGGTCTGTCCTCTCTGAAATCCTGCTGTCCTGCCCTCTGGGCTTCCTCTGCTGTCTCTCTCTCTCTCTCTCTCTCTCTGTTTATTTGTAGTCCTTTGCATGTATCTGTCTGTGCAGCCTGGATGCTCCTCTCACGTAGACACGCATCCTCAACGTCAAGATCTGTTCTGTCCCCCACTGAGGCTGAGTGAGGCTGTGGGGTAGGTGTGACAGAGTGGTTTCCCCCCTCCCCTCAGTGCTGTCTGTCCTTGGATCTCTCTCTCTCTCTCTCTCTCTCTCCCTCCCTCCTCTCAAAACCCTCCCCTCTCTGATACAGACGCATGCTCACCTCCGAATACAGAGCACATTTTCACAGTTGACTCTCAAACCTGAAGACAAATCAAACATCTTTAATATTTCAAACCACAACACTACAAAAAAAAAAAAACCTTCTTCCTTAACGTATCATCACGTCGTCTGCTTTATTTAGTCTTTAAAGTGATGCTGCATCACACACACACACACACACATTCTGTGTATCTGATATATGGGTCCCTTGAGCAGAGATTGGCCTCGGCAGCCCCGCTGTGGAGGTGTGAGAGAGATCGCCGTGGTCTGACCCCACACAGACGATCAATCTGCACCACTGATGGCATCCATTGATTTCCTCTGCCTCCTCCCTTACAGCAGCGCCTGTCAATTAAAAAAACACTATTGCTTCCATTTATCCATCCACATTAAAAAAAAAGTGAATATCCATCTGTGCTCCACACCTCTGATGATGATGATGATGATGATGATGATGATGATGATGACAATGACATATTTACACCTGTGATGATTCCAGATGTGGAAGTTTTCATGTGAAACTTTTATTTGTCTTAGAATGTAACAGGTGGCTTCTCTCATAAGTGATGGTTTCAGAAGAGAGAGTGAGGGAGTTTTTATTGGAGTTTATTTAGTATTTGTTATTTGAGTCCTTGTGAAGGTGGAAAATAAAATGTAAATAAAAAAAAAAAAAGCTTGTACTGCCCCCTGCTGGTTGATGCTCCTGCACAACAGTGCTCAGTAAGTCAAAGATGCTGTGTGTTGAATTCAGATATTTTATAACCAAGGAGGGACAATCACCATCTCTGTCACATGACGAGATATTCAAACAACGTGTTTTTATGGTGTCGGATGTCTGAGTAAATATTAAGAAACTGGTGATCACCTCCGAACTTTTCATATCTAGGGCATGTTTGATGATATCGTTGAAGTATATTGTTTTTTAACAAATGTCAATATTCACATTTCATATTCTCATATTTATATTTATAGCCCATGTACCATATACATTATATAGTGGATACCTTAGATACATATCACAGACCTCCACCCAGAACAGTGTGTAATCGTGCTAAGATAATCTTTACAATTATGTGGAAACGCTCTGTGATAATGTGTAGTGACTGTGCTCAGCTGATCTCCTCCATCTGAACTGTTGTGCCATTTCCCTGAGTGTAAGTATAATTTGTCCACCTTCCTACAGGGGGCGACATTCTGTGGCGAGGCAGCAGCCAAGTTTTTCCTCAGCAGTGGATCAGAATGGTTTACTACAGTGTTCCCGGTCACGTGGGCTGATAACGAGGAAGATATTTTGGTAAGAAGTCTCATCACATATTTTCCATGTTGTGAACAGTCTGTCTTCTCTGTTGCTTTGGAAACTTTGAATGGAAATAACAATCAAGCAGAGTGTCGGGTGAAGCCACAGAATAAACATGTGTTGTAAAGGGAATTTAAAAAACAGGACATGAACACTGACCCTGAACATCATCTTTATTATCGTGACCCAAATTTCCAAACTGTCAAACAGATCATTAATGCAGAGAAAAGCTGAAATCCACCAAATCAAACACTTTAAGTGCAGCTTTCATTCAAAACCGATGAGTTCAAGAAATAAATGAAACTTTGTTAAACGTTATTTTTTTTCAAATCTACACACACACACACATTATTTGAGAAGTCCCTCAATTAAAAAACTTGCTTTAGCAGAAAGTAAAATAAAAACACAGCAGTTTTGGTCAGTTGCTGGCGACGTAACAAAGTTTTGCATTTTGTGCTTTTTTTTTTTTTCGTATCAAGTTTCGATTAACTGAGGTTGCAGAAGGCACATGTGCATCGTTGATTTCATGGAATTGCCCTTTAAGCTTTGTTTAGTGTATCTCAAGAAAAATAAGACAAGTGTGCGAGTACAACAAATGACGCTCCCTCCTTCACACGCCACACAGCAACTCTCAAGAAACCTCCAATCCCCATAAAACTGGCAGTGTAAAACCAAAGCCATTATTTATCAGCTATGTACATCAAGAGAATAAATGTGTTTTCTTTCTGAGATATTTTAAGGTCTGTAGTGAATTATGGATGAAAACGTACATCAATGCCGTATGTGGAGTGTAAACATCTGGAATTCTGCGGCCCATAGATTTTAAAGCATGCTGTTATAATAAGCCGCAGTTTGTGGCTGTCATGTATCAGTGTTACATTCCAGTCATAACCATGGGTTTCTCTGAAAAACACAGAAGGTTGTTAAACACCACTAAGCGTGTTGAACTAGTATATGCAGACTTATACCAAATTCTAAAGCTGTTTCCTAATCCAAAAAAAAAAAAAACAAGATGGCAGGTTACAGGTTAAAAATCCTCGTCACCCGTCACAGAATCTTTTTTTCATCCTAATGGTCGAGAGATTCTCGGAGGATTCTGGAAATAACTTCTGTGCATTTGTTTTCAGAGAAACAGATGAACATCACTGTGATTTGAATGCAACCTTCACGTTCACACACGAGAGGCACAAACAGAGACTAGCTGTTCCGATGCTGTTGACCTACGGGCCACAGGGCTTCATCACTTTCCTACTTGTAGCTTCTGTATTTGCATCCACAGCAGTTATGTACAATGTAGTAGTGCTTTTTTTTTTTRTTTTTCTTTTTCCGAGGCACAGTGGTCACAAGGTTTTCAACCTGATAACCAGACACTGTTCCCATAATGCCACAGGGCCACATTTTGTGCTGGAACAAGCAAGCACACTGGCTGATATAAATGTTGCACTGTCTCTGTTCTCTAAAGTCTTTCCCATCATCCCTGTCGATCATAGCGTGTTGGGGAGGTAAAGCGAGCACAGCAGCATGTTCTGTCCCAGAGCCGGGAAGCGTCTGAAGGCCTCCCAGGCGTCGGAGAAGATGTTGTATTTCAGAAAGACGCGGTGCTCCAGGCTGGTGGGCAGGCTGACATCCCGGCTCATGATGTAGATGCCGTCATTGTGCAGCGTGCACGTCAGGTTCAGGCCCGACTTCGACGTGTTCTCCTTCAGCTGGAACCACTCCCCCGTGGTGATGTTGTAGGACTGCACCGTCAGCACGTCCTCCGTCTGACTGGGACGTCGTTGCCGCCGACCCGCCTCCAGCTCGTGGGTGTAGCCGCCCACCAGGTAGATGGTGTCTTCGACTGAGAGCATCTGCTGCTTGCGGATGTGAGCCGAACAGGACCGAAACACCGTCCAGGTGTCAGAGGTGGGGCAGTAACGGAGGACATTTGTGTTTCTATCTGTTGGACACAGAATAAAACACCATTAGCAGCGGTTTCAGAAGAGACAATCACTTCTACCTCCTGAAACATTTGTCACATTATGTTAAACCTTGAAATGTTTACAGAAAAAGTGATTTATTGTGACTTCGTTAGCAGCTGACACATACTAACCTCTTGCAGTGTATCCGCCCATGATGTAAATCATTCCTTGGCATTCACAGGCGGAGAACTCAGCCAGCGGGTCGGGCATTGAGGAAACGCAGGTCCACCAGTCCTGCTCCGGGCTGTAACACTCCACCGTGCCCAGACACTGGCCTCCCACAGCGTACAGCTTCCCTTGTACCGCCAGCAGCTTGAAATTGGACCTGGAGAGGAGGAGACACAATGAGTGAGCAGAAACAAAACACAGGACGATTGATGATGTAAAGATCAGGACTCCTGTGAGGTGAGACCACCTGATGTAGGACTCCTTGTTTTTATTAACTCTGCAGATACTTCACTCCACCAGACAGGTTATGTTTTTTTATGTAACGCAAATTTTGGGACATTTTCACTGATTTTCAGGGATTATTTCACAGATCTTTATTCATGCATGTTTAGGGCTCATTGTCCTGCTGCACAATGAATTATTGGTCCAATCAGACGATGGTATCTTGTGAAGGATTAGAACCTAAACTTTTGCAGATAACTGCAGATGTGGATCTACCTTTTCTGGTTGAGCGGAGCCACCTGGTTCCACTCGTTCCTGCTGGGGTTGTAGCAGTGCACGGCAGAGATCTCCTGACTCGTCATCCTGTAACCACCGACTATGAACAGGTAGTTGTCCAGCACAGCCGAGCCGTACCCTCTGACGTTGATCATGTCTGGAGGGAGGTTGTTCGCAAGTGGTTTCCAACGCTGCTCCACTTCCCCGTACCTCAGCATGGACCAGGGTTCGTCCTGATCAGGCACGTCCAGGGACAGACAGGTGAAGTCTCCTATGGCGATGAGGGTGGCGGTGCCTTTCATGCGCATCTCCCTGACCTGGTCTCTGACAGCAGAGGGGAGGCTGCCGAACTCCGGCCGCTTCAGCATGGGGTGATAGTAGCAGCTCATGTATTTGAGGCAAGCGTGGCGCAGGTCGTGAGTCCCATAGACCTCAGAGAGGCTGAACAGCTCCACGCAGTTGTCCAGGCGGATCTCCGAGGTCAGGAGCTTGAGGATGGAGGTGACCTGCAGGAAGGAGGCGGTCTCGATCAGGTCCTCCAGGGTCTCGTTGACGACCTGGACCTTGGAGGTGTTGATGAACTCCAGCACCAGCTCCAGGCCGGGGACGCTGAGCCCCTGCAGCTGCACCGAGTCCTCCGTGGACTCCCTCATGCCGGAGCTGTACAGTGCGCGGAAGTAGTCGCTCTTCTCGATCAGCTTCTTCTTATTCACCTCGTAGATTTTGTCATCCATGACGATGGCGATGATCTGGTCAGATGACATGGCGGCGGCGGCGCACTCTCTCTGTTTCGAGCTGTTTCGGTTTTTCTCGTTGCCCTTTGTCAGCCTCTCCGCAGCGAGTCACCGTTTACATTTCACCGGCGAGGGAGCTCTGTGGCCGGTCTATATATGGTCATGTTCGGCCCATAGATCGCCATGGAGCAGCTTCCATTAGCCGGGGGAAGCTAAGCAGTTAGCCGGGAGAAGAGCGGCTGCAGCTACGGGATAACCTAACCAAATGAGCCCTTTCCGCGGGTTAGCATTCCTCGACGGCTCGGTGAAACGTCGCCGCGGCCTCCGGAGGTGTCGGTTACATGGAACAGTTTATTTCTGAGGGTTGCAAAAACATTTCCCATCGCATTTTATGAAAACGATGCCGAGCTGTCAAATCTGAACTGTTTTGATTCTGCAACTACGTCATGTCCGGGTTTTGCTTCTTCTTCTTCTTTGTGAGGTTGTTTTTTTTTTTTTTTTTTTTGTTAAAGCTGCTGCCGCCTGGCGGTGGAGGGAGGAACAGCTCGCGTCATTAATCAAGAAATGTTCAAAATCAACAACAACAAATAAAAGATTATAAAAAGAAATGAAAACACAAGACGTCACGTGAAGAGGCAAATAAAAATGATCTATAAATACATATTGTTGGAAAATGAAGCCAAAAGAAAATCAATAAAATATCATATAAAAAATAATAAAAATTATTATTTCCTTTTTGTTACATAGGCTTCACCACAGACTTATCGAAGCAGGAAACAGCAGTAGAGAGAAGAAGACGAGAGATGAACCTGGAGTGGTTGTATATTTATCTACATTTTGGTTCATCACTTTTATTTTTTGAGACCCTTTGCTAGTTTTACACTTTAATAAGTCTGTGTGTTATTGCTAACGTGTTTTTATCGATCTATCATATTTCAAGTCATTTTATTCCAAAGCACCTTGAGCTGCGTTTTATGTGTGAAAGGTGCTGTATGAACAAAATGTATTATTTTTATTATATCATGGAGTAGAATAGAAAACAGTGTAACTCAGCCTCTCTGCAGCTTATTCTCCTCCATCAGTTCTAATGAGCTCAGCAGCTCTGTTCATCTCCAGCTGTCAATCAAGATAAGGTTTGTTGTGGCGTCACTGTCTGAGAGAAGTGAAGCAACGAGAATATCAGCAGACCCCAGCCTTCACAATAAGAGCACAGACCATTATTATTACTATAATATATCTACTATAATTATTGGATTCATCATTTAATTGTCAATGGGTGTGTCAACGTTTTTATTTTTCCAAACTAAGCTCTATACATTTTCATTTAGATATTTGGAGAGTTGAATTTCAAATTTTAATTACAAAATATTTTTTATATAAAAATGGGAAATTTAAAAATAAACACTATATGAAAGAAAATTAAAAACATTCCCAATCTTCTCTATGAAATGTTAAATTATAAAATAATTGTCTCTATACAAACCAAATAAATGATGTCCATGAAAAAAAATTTATTTTCTGAACTAAAACAGAAAAAACTGAAAATTTGAGAGTTTAATTTAAAATATTTCTTAGGCAAAATTCAAATTGATATAATAAAATCAGACGTTATCGTGATTTTCTCAGAAACAGAATTTCACCTTGTCACTCGCTGTTATTAGGATTAAAAGTTATAATCTGAAAGTCCTGGCCGGATGTGTGTGTGTATTAATGTGTGTGTGTGTTGCCGGTGTGTGGGTGGAGGAGGAGACCCGGGCAGACGCATCAATGACTCGGGCTCCTCGCTGCGCATCACTCGGCCTCTTTCAGCGGACAGCCGGCTGCTCGTGATCCGAGCTGAGGATGCGGGAGCAGGCGTGGACCTCCCGGTTCCTCCGCTGCCTCCTGCTCATCACCACCGCGCTGACTTCGGCTGAGTCCGCGGACCTGCGGCCGTGCGAGGAGGTGAGTCCTCCTCCTCCTCCTCCTCCTCATCCTCATCATCATCTCATCACAACCTCATGCACACAGACGGAATATTCCTTTAAATCGCTGCCGTCATGAGGATGTTTTCACTGCACATCACCTGAATCCAGAACATGTCCATGCACACATGCACAGATCCAGATCCACACCGCGTCTCCTCCTGCACAGATAGAAGCACTAATACACATTCCACCTCCTCCATATGTATGAATATTGTCTGTGCAGTGTCTGGGTCTCTGTGCAAGAACACACGAGCCTCTCCTCGCTGCTGATCGGATTAAAATGTGCTTCATGTTGACTATAAACACGATGAGGCTGTCTGCTGGCCTCCATCCCTCCTCCGAGCAGCCTCCTGCCGGCCAGCCAGACTGCGATCCACCGCTGAGGAGGAGGAGGAGGTGGAGGAGGAGGAGGAATAAATGGCTGACAGGGTTGATTGTGATAGAAACACACACGGTGCATGTGGATGCTCCTCACTGATTATAGTGTTTACAGTTGTTGGCGTCACATTCAGTGAGGTGTGTGTTTAATCTGGGTTCTGGCTCCTGCAGGGATCCATGAGGATTTTTCCCTGGAGCTTTAAGTCAAAATGAGGACGTCACTGACCCAGATATTTACTGTTAACTTAATATTAACATCCAGTTTAAATCAAGTTAGAAATGATTAGACATTTTATGTCACCTCCTTATGCTAATGCACAAAAACTGTTGTCATGCAAACAACACAACTTTACTGAAATACTATTTCTCTGTGGTGAAAGCAGTTTAAACTATCTATAATTAATGTCATTAATTCCAATAACCTTTGGGTTGCCAGGTTGTGAAAACCCCTCCTCCACCTTATTACTTCCCCTAAAACTCTTCTTCCTCTACATGACACATTCAGAAGGTTTGTCATTTTAAAAAATCTCCCTCGTGATTTTAAAATGTCTTAAATGTAACTGTTCCTCAGTTTGGTCACGTGGCTGGGCTCTCTACTTGACTTTTTAATATTTCCCCACTAACATGACACACCTCAAATTAAGATTTCATTCTCGTTTTTTTTTTATCTTGTAAGTGGCCCTAACTCTCAACGTCATATGTTCTCATGTTTAAAAACTTGATTTTCACCAGACAGGGACTTACATGTATTTACACCCCTCAGAGTGAGGCTGCAGTAATCTACGTTAAAAGGTCAATTGGATTTTCAGCTTATACTATAATTCATATGCAAAAGTGACCCAGTCACCTATAAGTGTTAATAAACATTAACAAAGAGTTTTGTAGTAATCCACCAGGTCTGCAGCTATGAATGTTAATGAGCTGGATTTTGGTCCAGATGTCCTGCAGCTGTTTGTGAGAGCTCGAAACTTATTCAATCAATAAAGCATCGGTTAATAATGTATTCACCAGTAATAGAGCCGTTAATAACAGCTTGTAACCCCTTAATATAAACACTCCCTCTTCAGAAAGTGGAGCCTGTGATATATCCGATGCCTGAACTATACTTTGTCTTGTGTTTGTTGATCCGTCACTTTCCCAGGAGGCCTGTATGTGTAGAACTAAAGCCACAGAACCTGTGAGTGCAGCTTGCCTTGCACGTTCAACATCCTCGGACTGTAAAGCCTCGCTCTGGCAGATCTCCATCTCCTCCCCCGAACCTGCTGCTCAGCCGAATCAGTGGCGTCTGCAGGCAGGCAGGCAGCTGGCTGCAGCCGAGCACCCACACCTCAGTATCCGCTAATTAAAGTGGAACAGTTGTAGTTCAGGGGGAATCAATCAGGGGCGAGGGAAGATGGTTTGTAGATGTAGGATGTGTGTGTGTGTGTGTGTGTGTGTGTTGTACAGATAAGGCCGAGCTCTTTTACATGACTAATCACATCCCAGCAGAAACAAACATGGCAGCACAGACACACAAACATGTAAACAGTCGTCAACCTGCGCTCACATTCACCTGCTAATGGACAAACACTGGGTCTGGTGGCGCCCGAGCTGATGTGTTGACAGTGGAGGGAGGAATAGAGGGTGGGGTGGGGGGGCTTATAAAAAAAAAAAAAAAGGGACACGGGCTAATTTGTTTCGCTGCTCTCCTGTGTGACTCACGCTGGTCGTCATGGAGACTGGTGAAAAGCAGATAGAGGAGAGGGGGGTGGGTTAGAATTCAACGCCATGACAAGCCAACCTTTGAGTCGGGGTGGGGGGGGTAGATTTGAGTCGACAGCAGGAAAAGATGGACGTGGACCTTTTAGCGTGAAACTGCTGATAAATACTTTCAATTATTTTAGTACTGAAGATCTATGAAAACATCACACACACACATTTTACTTTTTCTCCACCTGCATCTGGACAATCAGCCGTCAAATCACTGAGAGCTGCAAAACTGACACGATGCTTAACTTTGTATTTTACATCATATCTCACTGTTTTTACTGCAGATACACATGAACGCTGCAGTTTGACTTCCATGCATCTATCAGCTTCTCATCCATTTATCCTCGGAGGGTCCAGAGTTATACTGAGGGCCATTGTCGTGCAGAGGTTATTTATTCATTCAGTCAAAATAACATGATGGTCTGAAAAGAATCAGGCTGAACCGTGAACATGAAAAAGATAATTTATAAAGAG